TTCCACAATTTTTGCACAAATTTACAGTCCCACCACATATGTAAATACATTCCTTTTTCCCCACAACCTCTCCAACAGTTATCTGAATAGTGCTGATTCATATTGCTTAATCTAACTGGAGTTAAGTGCCTGACTCTTTTCTCTTAAGCAAAATCTCCTTGCGGCCTCCTTTGCTACCAAGCCATAAAAATGATAAACTGAGTTAATGGGTGCCTTTGAGCACATTGGACATCACAGGGACCAGTAGAGGGCAGCAGAGGGAGACATCTGAAACAGGTGACAGCTGTAGCTGAGGTAGGATTCATCTTGCGGGCCAATTGATCAGACCTACTCTTGCCTTAGTCACTTCTCTACCGCCAGGCACTCTACATAGGCTGCTCTCAGTGGTGGGATTCAAATAATTTAACAACCGGTTCTCTGCCCTAATGACCGGCTGGGTGGGCGTGGCCATGGTGGGCGTCGCCAGGGGTGTCTGACAGGCAGCACTCAGCCTCCTGCAACCCTCTGGGAGCGAAAATGAGCCATGGGAGGGAGGACGCCCCCCCACCTGTGCCCCGTTTTGGGCCTAGGAGGCCTCCCTGCAGCCTCCTGGGAGCAAAAACAGGCCATGAGTGGGGCTGCGCCATACCCCCACGCACCCCATTTTACACCTAGGATATATCCCTGAAGCCTTCTGAGAGTGAAAACGGGCTGTGGGGGGGGGACACGCCGCACCCCCTGCACCCTGCTTTGGGCCTTGGATGCATCCCTGAAGCCTCCTGGGAGTGAAAACGGGCTGGGGGGCATGCCGCGCCCCCTGCACACCATTTTGGACCTAGGAGGCCTCCCTGCAGCCTCCTGGGAGCAAAAACAGGCATGAGTGGGGCTGCGCCGTACCCCACGCACCCCATTTTACACCTAGGATATATCCCTGAAGCCTTCTGAGTGGAAAACGGGCTGTGGGGGGGGGGACACGCCGCACCCCCTGCACCCTGCTTTGGGCCTTGGATGCATCCTGAAGCCTCCTGGGAGTGAAAACGGGCTGGGGGGCATGCCGCGCCCCTGCACACCATTTTGGACCTAGGAGGCCTCCCTGCAGCCTCCTGGGAGCGAAAACGGGCCATGGGGGGGTGCACAGCACCCCCGCATCCCGTTTTGGGACTAGTAGGCCTCCCTGCACTTACCTGGGAGCCAAAATGGGTGGCATGGGTACTCCTGGAAGGGGTGGGGCAGGGAGAGGTGGGGCCAGCCAGCAATTTAAGTACCAGTTCACCTGAATTGGCCCGAACCAGCTGAATCCCACCACTGGCTTCTCTTGAAGACTACTGAAAAGTTAGGGACTTAATGCAGGATCTCCTACACCAGGGGTGTCAAGCTCGTGGCCCATGGGCTGCATCACACACTGGTCATACCCACGCCCAGTTTAGCAAAGGGGGAGGGAGAAGTCCCGATATGTCACGTGACGCTGCCATGAGAATTTGAGTTTGATACCCCTGCCTGATTTCATGTTGGTTTTAACATTTGATACTGATTTTAATTGATACGTTTTAAATTATGGGCCAAATTTCATTTAATTAGTTTTAATAATTATTTTAACTTTTGTGTACAAATGTTTTTGTTTTGGCTGTTCACCGCCCTGAGTCCGAAAGGAGAAGGGCAGTATACAAATTTAATAAATAAATAAATACCATCTCTGACCAATGATCATCCAGTTTCCACACGAGAAGCAAAACTTGTCATTTCAAGGGGGGCGGGGGAGCTCATATACTCCTCCAGAGGAGACCCAAGTTCAAATCCACCCTCAACCCTGGATGATCACAGGTGACTTCAAGCCAGAGGTGCTGTTGTTAAAGTTAAATCCAAAAGAGATCTTTAAGTAAGGAAGGGTGTAAATTGAACCAATCGATCAATCACTGCGGAAGGCTCACACTTAAGGTGCCAAGAGGATGTCTATTACATTTCTACTTGTCAATATCAAAAGCATTAAAGTTAATGCAAGCCGCCTACTTTGCTTTTGATTTCCCAGCTGGTTCAGCAAACTACTACTGCGTTAATTGTGAATCCTTGGTGGAGCTCATTAAAATCGCAACATCAATTCTCCAGCGCCTAACTCTACACGGCCTTTCTTCATCTCCTTCGACGCTAATTGCTTTCCGGTCTTTCAAGTCTCCGTTGGCTAATTAAGCCGTGTTGCCGCAATCAAAGCTCTCCACGGTCTAGTTAGAGTAATGTTTCTCAACCGCACCAACTTTAAGATGTGTGAACTTCAACTCCTCAAATTCCTGGGTGGGGATGCTGGCTGGGGAATTCTAGGAGTTAAAGTCATACATCTTGAAGTTGCCAAGTGAAAAACCCTGGTCTAGTTCTTCCCTTTTATTCTGTACACCTTCCAGTTGATTAGAATAGAATAACAGAGTTGGAAGGGACCTTGGAGGTCTTCTAGTCCAACCCCCTGCTTAGGCAGGAAACCCAACACCACTTCAGACAAATGGTTATCCAACATCTTCTTAAAAACTTCCAGTGTTGGAGCATTCACAACTTCTGGAGGCAAGTTGTTCCACTGGTTAATTGTTCTAATTCTCAGGAAATTTCTCCTTAGTTCTAAGTTGCTTCTCTCCTTGATTACTTTCCACCCATTGCTTCTTGTCCTGCCTTCAGGTGCTTTGGAGAATAGCTTGACTCCCTCTTCTTTGTGGCAGCCCCTGAGATATTGGAAGACTGCTATCATCTCTCCCCTAGTCCTTCTTTTCATTAAACTAGACATACCCAATTCCAGCAACTGTTCTTTGTATGTTTTAGCCTCCAGTCCCCTAATCATCTTGGTTGGTCTTCTCTGAACTCTTTCTAGAGTCTGCACATCTTTTTTACATTGTGGCGACCAAAATCGGATGCAGTATTCCAAGTGTGGCCTTACCAAGGCCTTACAAAATGGTATTAACACTTCACGTGATCTTGATTCTTTCCCTTTATTTATGCAGCCTAGAACTGTGTTGACTTTTTTGGCAGCTGCTGCACAATTGAACAGTGTCCTTCTTCAAATTCAGTAAAGGCTTCCTTTGAGGCCTTATATCACCAGTGAGAGGGACAAGGCCCTGTATTTAGTGTATTACAGGAACCCAACCTATTATCTAACTTTGTTGGGTCTAAGAAGCCACCACAAGCAATCCTGAACAAGGATGAGATTCTGACATCACCTGCAGTTCTGTTAATCATTTAGAGCACTGGTGTCAAACTCGTGGTGTCACGTTGCTGTCACATGATGTATCGCAATGTTTTTCCCTTCATGGAGCTGGGGTGGGCATGGTCTGTGCATGACGCATCTGGCCCACAGGCTGCGAGTTTGACACCCCTGATTTAGAGCAATGTTTGTCAGCCTTGAAGAATAGAATAGAATAGAATAGAATAGAATAGAATAGAATAGAATAGAATAGAATAGAATAGAATAGAATAGAATAGAATAGAATAGAATAGAATAGAATAGAATTCTTTATTGGCCAAATGTGATTGGACACACCAGGAAATTGTCTTGGTGCATATGCTCTCAGTGTACATAAAAGAAGAGATACATTCATCAAGAATCATAAGGTATAACATTTAATGATAGTCATAGGGTACAAATAAACAATCGAATCATATTAGGAAACAGTCAATATAAATCATAAGGATACCAGCAACAAGGTTGCAGTCATACAGTCATAAGTGGGAGGAGATGAGTGATAGGAACGATGAGAAGATTAATAGTAATGCAGACTTAGTAAATAGTTTGACAGTGTTGAGGGAATTATTTGTTTAGCAGAGTAATGGCGTATCATCGTCTATCTATCTATCTATCTATCTATCTATCTCTATCTATCTGTCTGTCTGTCTATCTATCTATCTATCTATCTATCATCATCTGTCTGTCTATCTATCTATCTATCTATCATCTATATCTATCATGTCTGTCGGTCTATCTATCTATCTCATCTATCTATCATCTATCTATCTATCTATCTATCTATCTATCTATCTATCTATCACCGTCTATCTGTCTGTCTGTCTGTCTATCTATCTATCTATCTATCTATCTATCTATCTATCTATCTATCATCGTCTATCTATCTATCTATCTATCTATCTATCATCATCTGTCTGTCTATCTATCTATCTATCTATCTATCTATCTATCTATCTATCATCATCGTCTGTCTGTCTATCTATCTATCTATCTATCTATCTATCTATCTATCTATCACCATCTGTCTGTCTGTCTATCTATCTATCTATCTATCTATATATCTATCACCGTCTGTCTGTCTGTCTATCTATCTATCTATCTATCATCGTCTGTCTATCTATCTATCTATCTATCTATCTATCTATCTATCTATCTATCATCGTCTGTCTGTCTGTCTATCTATCTATCTATCTATCTATCATCGTCTGTCTGTCTATCTATCTATCTATCTATCTATCTATCTATCTATCTATCACCGTCTGTCTGTCTGTCTGTCTATCTATCTATCTATCTATCACCATCTGTCTGTCTATCTGTCTATCTATCTATCATCTATATCTATCATGTCTGTCTGTCTATCTATATTTAACATCATCTGTCTGTCTGTCTGTCTATCATCTATCTAACTATCTATCTATCTAATCTCTCACCCTGATTGGAAATACAGTACCAAAGGTAGAGAACTTTTGATTACTCTAGTTTTAACTTGTCTAATAACAACAAAATCTTGGTAGAGAATAAAACACTAGTTGATTCCTTTCATCTCTAATCTAACTTCTCGACTCAGTTGCCCTTCTGATCTTTTCTTTTTTTAAAAAAAAAAATCTATTAATCGTTTTTTAAAAAAAGAGCAAACAATTCAACAAACAAGAAAAAAATTTATAAAAAGGAAGAATATCAACACACAAACAAAACATTTATTGGGGTTGTATGGTTAATGCTCAGTATATCACTAAAATAATCGTGAAAATCAACGTGCATTAAATAATTTCACAAAAGTGAGAAAGGATTTGGATCTCTGAGTTTAGTACCCCAAACTTATATTTTTTTCAGAAATCAGGCATCCAATAATCAATTTCCTCAAAGCCCTTTTTACTTCCTTATTCCTCAGTGTATATATAAATGGGTTCAGCATGGGAGTGATGATGGCATAGAACACAGCCAGCATCCCATACATGGCATGGCTTGAAGCTGGTTGCATGTAGATAAAAATGGAGGGGCTATAGTATAGTAGCACTACAGTGAGATGAGCGCTGCAAGTTGAGAAAGTCCGATGTCTTCCTTCCATCGTTTGGATTTTCAAAATAGCAGAAGCTATGTAGGCGTAGGAAATACATATCAGTAGAAAGCAACCTGTGCCCACCAGGGCAATGTTTATCCTTATCATGGCATGATTCACAGTTATATCGGCACAGGCCAGCTTTAGCACAGGGGGTATGTCACAAAAGAAATAGTTAACCCGGTTAGGACCGCAGTAAGGCAGACGGAAAGTCAGACTGGTATGTATTGCTGCGTGAAAGGAACCCGTCAACCACGTGCCAGTTACGAGTCCCAAGGAAATTCTTCTGTTCATCAACGTGGTATAATTCAGTGGACGGCAGATAGCAAGGTAACGGTCATAAGCCATGACAGTATAAAGGAAACATTCAGTGCTGGCCAGAAAGTGGAAGGCGTAGAGTTGAAGGACGCAACCTCCAAAGGAGATGGCTCTGTAGCTAGGTGCTATGAAGCTGACCAGGATTTGGGGCACAGTGACCGAGGAGAGGCAGGTGTCCAGAAGAGAGAGATTGCAGAGAAAAAAGTACATGGGCAGACCGTGAAGATGAGGTTCAACCACAACAGTGACGAGGATGAGGAGGTTCCCTAGCACTGTCAATGAGTAGATGACCGTGAAGATGATGAAGAAGAGAAAGGGAAACCGGGCAGTGTTTGGTATACCCCCAAGGATGAAGACGCTCACTTTGGTTTGATTGTCTGGATCCATCTGCTAGCAGCAGGAGCAGTCTGAAGGGCATCAAAATCTGGAGAGCAGGAACTGTGAAATCCGGCAAAAAATTGAAACGGATGCTCAAGCTATGAATTTATTTGATAGCGAGATAGAGATGATAGAGAGACGGATAAAGATGGAGATGGAGATATAGATAGATATGGATGGTATAGATATAGATTTTAATGCCACCTCCCATAAATTCATCTTAAAGTGCAGACACATAATAAAACCAACCTTAAATGATTAAAATGCAACATAAAACTTCAATAAATGAAAAACCAGAACAAGACTTCGTTTCTCTCATCCCCTTTTGGGACAGGGGCTGCATGTTGGGCCCAGCCCAAGAAAGATATACAGTAGTGGCCAAAATTGTGGAATCCTTTGGTATTTTCTAAGTGTATTTTCTAAAATTAGCTATTAACACCACTTTTTTTTTTTTTTGAGTAGTACCGTAAAATTATACATCAATGGAAAGATAATTTAATCAAGAATGTAACACAATAACTTTTAGGAAGGATTCGCTATTAGAATAGCAGTTACAGTAGAAAGAAGGAAAGGGAAACACGTAGAAAAAAACGAGATCTACAAAAATGATCACCATGTCAGTGAATACTTAGTTGGGTAACCTTCAGCATGAATTATGGCCTTACAACCTCTTCCCATGGAGTGAACCAAGTCTTTTAGTTCTGCAGCTGTTCTAATGTGAAACCAAGATTGAATGATTGCTTCTATTAACTGGGTTTTATTGCTGGGTCACTTCTGATTAACAAGTTTCTTGGATTCCAGCTCCATGGATTTTCAATTGGGTTAAGGTCTGGGCTATTCCTAGGCCATTCCAGCAGTTTACTTTTATGGTAGTTGGAACATGTGGTATGATTGGATCCAGAAACGATGGGAGAGAGACAAAGGATAATGTTGGATTATAATTATAGATGATGGTATATTTATGGTAATTAATAAGTATTGGAAAGGTAAATTTGTATACAAGATTTTTTTTTTTTAATTTGATTTATATGCCGCCCTTCTCCGGAGACTCAGGGAGGTTTACAATGCGTTAAGCAATAGCCTTCATTCTTTTGTATATTTTATACAAAGTCAGCTTATTGCCCCCACAAACTGGGTCCTCATTTCACCTACCTTAGAAAGGATGGAAGGCTGAGTCAACCTTGAGCCTTGGAGAGATTCGAACCAGCAGTAAATTGCAGGCAGCTGTGTTAATAACAGGGTGCATTAAACCACTGTACTATCAAGGCTCTTGAAAATATTGTAAATATTTTCTACTTTTACTCTCTGATTTTTGGCATATATATATATATGGATATTTTAGCGATGGTACACTGTGATAGAAAAATTATTATACATTTGTTTTTGATTTGTTTTTGAACTATAATAAAATGCTCTAATAAAAAATTAAAAAAAGGTGGCAAGGATGACTGAGAAATGTTGATTTGTGATTGTCTCGGCCACCTTTTTCACAACTTAGCAGCTATTGAGGGTGGGGAGTTTGCCGCAACGACATATTTCAAATGGAAGGAACATTGGTGGCTTCATCCATCAGGGAAAAGGCCACATCCAAAGGGGTGTGAAGCCACAGCTCTGCAGTTCAGATGTTGTGGCAAAAAGACATCGCAAGGAGCGTTTGCATTGAGTCTCTGACTGAGTGGCTAGAAACAAAGATTTTCCTAGCTGTAAATAGTACCAAAGGTGCATTTTTTTTTCAAGAGGCAACTGGACTTTTCTTGTTTTTTTTCTTTGACTTCTCATCCAAGAAGCTTCTTCAGCTCTGACTGGATGGTGGGGAATGGAAGGATTTATACTCGTTGCAGACAGCTGGTCATTTGCATTCTTTTAGTGACTCGTTGTAAGGCAACCTGGAGGTTTATCTGTGTCATCAGGATCACCTGGGCGATGCAAATGTGTGCGGAGCCAGCAGTAAAATCCACTTACCTTCGCTACCAATTAGGTTGGCAGAAGCTGGGACAAGAAACAGGAGCTCACCCCATTACACGGCACTAGGGATTCAAACCGCTGAACTGCCGACCTTTGGATCAACAAGCTCAGCGTCTTAGCGCTGAGCCACCGCATCCCTATAAAAAACAGCTAGTCTAAGCTCTATGTTTTAAATGGAGTAGAATCTGTCCACCTTCTCGCACCCACTCCTAACCCCACCTTTGAATATAATCTCAAACCAGCATCCCAGATTTGCGTGTCCCCATTGAAATCACAAGTTTATATTCTGATATACTTGCCTTGCCTAAAGCAGTTGCTCGATATGGTACACCTAGTTGTTGCGTCCAAGTGATGCAGTTTGTGACTTTTGAAGTTCTAAATTGTCACAGTCCGATTCTCTAAGGGCTACAGCAACCCAAAAGGGAAGCATGAGAACGCAAATTTCATCTTTTGGAAGGCTCCCAATCCTCTTTCTCCTTTACATCTGGGCACAACTGGGAAAAGCCAAAACAGTGTTCCTATTCTCAGTAAGCATTGCCTCAACAAGAAGAAATATAACTTTGGTATCCCCCAGGTTTGAAACCACATAGCTAGATGCTATTTTGATTAATTCCCATTGGCTAAGAGACTAAATCCTAGTATGATTTGATTGCTTATTGTACCATATGACTGTCACTGGGTGTTGTGCCTTGTGATTCTTGACGAGTGTATCTTGTCTTTTTATGTACACTGAGAGCATATGCACCAGAGTCGAATTCCTTGTGTCCAATCACACTTGGTCAATAAAGAATTCATTTCTATTCTATTCTATTCTATTCTATTCTATTCTATTCTATTCTATTCTTCTTTTTTTAAATTTGATTTATATGCCGCCCTTCTCCAGAGACTCAGGGTGGCTTACAATACGTTAAGCAATAGCTTTCATACTTTTGTATATTTTATACAAAGTCAGCTTATTGCCCCCGCAATCCAGGTCCTCATTTTACCTACCTTAGAAAGGATGGAAGGCTGAGTCAACCTTGAGCCTGGTGAGATTAGAACTTGCAGTAATTGCAGGCAGCTGATGTTAATAACAGTGCTTTAGTCTGCTGCGCCACCAGGGCTCTTATTCTATTCTACTCTACTCTACTCTACTCTACTCTACTCTACTCTACTCTACTCTACTCTACTCTACTCTACTCTACTCTACTCTATTCTAAATCTTACAACTGGAACTCTGTAGCTTAAAGTATAATTCCTCTTAAAACTCTCCTTTCTTTTTGTCTCTTTGTAACCTTCAGTCCTAGGGGAACAATATTTTGAACTGAAAGTCCTCTAATGGGCTAACTTAAAGAATTCATCCACAACTTTGTATCAAGGCTGCAGCTGTGCAGATGGTCAACAGTATTAAGTATCTGGGGGTGCATATAACTAACAATCTGACTTGGTCTCTTCAGACATTATCTTTATTGAAGCATGCAAACCAGGATTTGCATTTCCTGCATCGGATGAGGAGAGCACATCTTTCTCCTTCTGTCTTGGTCACTTTTTATAGAGGCACAATTGAGAGCATTTTAACAAACTGCATTACTGTTTGGTTTGGTGGCCGCAGTGCAGTGGTGGGTTGCCCCCAGTTCGCACCGGTTCTATAGAACCGGTAGTAGAGGTAAGTAGAACCCACCCCTGTCACAGTGCCTCCAATAGAAAGTCCATACAGAGAGTAGTGAGGGCAGCCGAGAAGATCATAGGAAGCTCGCTTCCCGTCATTCAGGACACTGCTTATAAGTGCTATGTGCTTAGCACTCAAAGCATTGTTAGAGACACCACACACCCCACTTCACTGTCTGTTGCTCCCCTCTGGGAGGAGGTTTTGAACTATTTATAGCCAGGACTACCAGATTCTGTAACAACTTTGTTCCTTATGCCATCCATCTTGTAAATTCGCAGGATTCTTTTTCCCCCCGCCATGTATATTTATACATTCGAGCTAGACTGTGATGTTTCTCCGTGTCACAGATGTGTGTATGTGTGGCTAAATGCATAATGGTTTTTTATTTTTTTATTTTTTTTTGCTTTAATTTATATGCCGCCCTTCTCCGGAGATTCAGGGTGGCTTACAATGCGTTAAGCAATAGCCTTCATACTTTTGTATATTTATACAAAGTCAGCTTATTGCCCCCACAATCTGGGTCCTCATTTCACCTACCTTTGAAAGGATGGAAGGCTGAGTCAACCTTGAGCCTGGTGAGATTTGAACTTGCAGTAATTGCAAGCAGCAGATGTTAATAACAGTGTTTAATCCACTGTACTACAGGCTCTTTGAGAGCTGAATGCAACGAAATTTCATTTTAGTGTATGCTGATTAGATTAGTCCGGAGGCTTTTCTGGAGCCCTCAGGAGGGCGAAAATGGTCTCCTCCAGCCCTCTGGATGCCCTCTGGAGGCTGGAAATGGCAGAGACCTGAAAATCAGCTGACCGGCAGGAGATGCACGTGCATGCACGGTGGAGCTAATCTAGGGCGACGGCTCATGTGCCCACAGAAATGGCTCCGCATGCCATCTGTGGCACGTGTACCATAGGTTTGCCATCTCGGATCTAAGACAACTTGCCACAGCCAACTCACCACCACTAACTCACCATAGAATAACTCACTGTGGTCAACTTAATGCAAAATTACTGTACTCTAGACCTGTTCCTTTCTTATTATTTTTATTAGTAATATTAATATTATTAATAATAAAATCCCAAAATGGGAGATGAAACAGTAAAAGAAACGATGATCTGTTGGGCAAAAAACCTTGGGCACAATATAGAATTAGAAACTATAAATTAACAATGGCAGTAGCCTATAAAGAAAATTTGTATAAAATGTTCTATAGATGGCACTTGGCACCGGCGAGATTGGCCAAAATGTTCCCAAATCTATCACCTAATTGTTGGAGATGTGGTTAGAAATTAGGCACATACTACCATATGTGGTGGATGTGCCCCAAGGTAAAAAAAAATTGGCGTAAAATTAAAAATTGGCTGGAGGAAATTACCAAATTAAAAATGGAATTTAAACC